CTTATGTAATTATGCTTAGATACAGTTGTGGACATCTATTTAAGAGAGTTTCATGACCTTAGCCATTTCGGCTTCCTGTATTCCTGGATTCGGTTGACTTGCTACATTGCTAAACATAATTTCATGGTAATAAATTTTAATTTTATTTTAGCTATGTTTGAAAATTTTAATTATATCTATTTTAACATATCCAGCGCTATTTTTCATTACTTATCTATATAAAACACTTTATTGATCATAAGACTTATCATTCTTACGCTAACCTTTTTTCAAATCCACTGGTTTCATAACGCTTATTTAATCCGTTATTATTACGCTTCCTTTTCATTTCTTACAAAGATCCGTCTAGACGTGATGAGCCACCGAAAAAATATAAAACGATTGATTATTTTCTATTAATCAAGCAACAATTTTAAAACGTGTGACTGTGCAGAATGTTGTCAACTTGTTGCAAATGAAGTAAGAATTTGTCATTATATTAATTTATTTTGCTGTTCAAGAATTTGCTGTCCTTTGAAAAAACGAAAATGGATGCTATGTTTCTGATTCAATGATTTTTTAAGAAATTTTGCTGCCATAAATGAATGATTTTGAAAATGTTCTCACTTTTCTTATATATCAAAAATGAATGGATATATGGTGACTAATATTCGAATATTAAATATTTTCATGTTTCAATCAATTAGAATTTCATCAATTCATTCTTCGTTCCTTCGTAAATTCATTCTTCGTAATTCATTCTTCTAAATAATCGATACAGTTAACAGAGTTGCATCGGTTTCGATTTTTAGTCTATTGCATCCCTACACGAAACGCATCAAAAAGATTTGTATTCAATCATCGGTTTTATTAAAAGTTAGTCCCATCCATCTTTCATATCATTCAATGCAGAAGTTAATCAAACAAAAATTATGAAATAAAATATAAAAACAAATGTTTTTTGGATATGCCTCGTTGAAAATATCAAATTATATCGAAAACCGGAAAATTGTGTAAAAAAAAACATATAATGTGAAGAAATTTGAAGATATGTATTGTTGCAGATTTCATTTCGTTTCCATTTTCTTCAATAAATTATATAAAAATTTTGCTATTATTATGTGGGAAAAGAAGCAGTATTTGCTTCAGTCCAAATAAATCTGTATATTCACGATGATTAGAATTTTAATGAATAGCGTTTGCCACTAACAATCTTTCACTTACAGTCTTTTAAATTTCAATTTTGCAAAACATAATTATCAAAAATCCTGCATTATTCCTATGCCATGCATCTTGACGAGTTCAATAGAGTCCGTTTTAACATACTATTTTGAAAATTACAATGGAGCGCAACAGACAGGAATAGATTACATTGGTGTCGAATAAAGTGTTGCGCTAATTATGACTGCTCTTAATGTTCTGTGAAAGATCTAGTAAGCCCATAATATTTTTAGATTTTAAGAAAAAAGTTAAATTCATAATAGGTGTGCATATTTCCTCACCACCATGGGACTCATTTGTTTGATTGATTTTTTGATTTTTTTCTTGAGAAAAAATTTTTAAGAACTTATGGTTAAACATGAATACAAAAATTAGAAATACTTTTATGATAGCATAGAGAATATGATTTTTTCCATTAATTTATATTTTTGTAAAAATTTTATAACTTCAGAAATCTATCTTTTCAGCTTGTTCAAGAATTAATAAATGGTAAGACAGCAGCTCTTAATCTTTGAGAGTATTGCGCAGTATAAACTATATTTCATAATGGTATTTTTGATTTCGCAGTGTAGGGTATATAGAAAACAAGAAAGAGTACAGAGAATTTCACTTCGATAATGATTTTCACTGTTAAGCAAGCGGTCGGAAAAGCAATTGTGATTGCCAGACTTTGATATGCTGTTTCAATTTATCCTTTCAGGTTTATTTGTTTGTTAAAAATTGGGTTAGATAATCATACTATACAAATGATCACTAATAATAAGAATCTACCCTGCACTATCGCTTTTGCTTTCTCTTTTTGCTCTATTTTTCTTTTGATCTTATACTACCAAATTTGCTTCAGTATTATTCTCCCTTATCACAATTAGTTTGCCATTTACCGCTTTTCAAAAAGAGCACATAATCGGAAAATTTAGCTTAGGTCTTACTGGTGTTAGTTGATTTTATGTACCAACGTTCTTCTCCACAAATTCTAATTAAAACTTTCTAGCGATTAAGAAGAAAACTTATTTTAAACAATTCCGTTGCAGCCAAATTTTCGACACTGGACGTTTTTAGATTAGGATTCGGGCAATTATTGTATTGAGGAGTAGGCTTTTCTTTTGCATTTAGTTGACAACTATGGAGTTCTTTATTTTCAAATATAAGAACTTTAAAAACCACAATTAGTAAAGAGACCTAAAATTTTTCTTTGATCATTATTAACTGCACCTCACTTGATGGTTTACAATTTAGTGACTCTAAAAAATATGACGACAACGTTGTTTCTATGGGGTATGAACGTAAAATCGACATGGATAGAGCGATAGTGAAAACCGTTGTTATTTGAAATATTCCGACTGATTATGTAGAAGTATCTGGATCTAATTGGGTATGGTATTCATCTTTATGGACAGAGTTTATTACAACTTCCCTCCATTCATCAGTAAACTTACTGCTCATGCTGTTATTGATGACTTCTCAACGGCTTCATCTGATCATTCAGAACTATCAGTTACTATCCAGTCATTCAATCAATGTATGTAGTGGTGTGATTGCATGCTGGACATCAACAAACATGGGTACATAAAAGATCGTATAACGTATAACTATATAACTTTTTCAACTATTAACTGGTTAGGTCTTCTTCGCTGGCATATGTTTCATTATTTTCCAGCTCCTTCTAATTTAAATGATTTAGATGGGAGATAATGTCATAAAGCCGTTGACTTGAGCAGAACGGCTCTACTGCATATTCATTCATACAGTCACACCAACTACTGCTTGCTACCTTCATGGGGAATGCCCACGATTTCCCGATAATTACAAACAATAATCATGTTGTCAAAACTTCACTTGGCAAACGAGGTAGTTATTAATCAGGTAACGTATCTTTTCCAATTATTTATTGCGATTTTCTCTCTTTTACAGGTACTGGCTAATTTCTGCTTGTCGAAAACTATTGACATGAGACGTCGCTAAGTACAACAAATACTAAGTCTACAATTGCAATCCTCATTAATTGTCACAGCTTAGAATAATTTAAAATGTACCTTGAAAACACTATTATTTGCTTTTGAAACAAGTTATAATATTATTTTACTAGAGATTCATTGCATATCTCAGACATGGAAAGTCGAAGAATCTACTGGCCGTTCCCATAGAACGCGTAAAGGTGATTGATATCAGGATGGAATATTTATACTCATTCATTGAAATTGAGAAGTCAGCAGAATCTCTTTCAAGCTCATAGGATTTTCAAGCTCTCAGCCATTAATATAAATCTCTTGTACTACATCTGCGCTGTCCTAACAGCGCTAAAGCCACTACAATTTCAATGAGAAACTTATTGCCATGATCAATACAAGTTTTTTGGCTAAAGTTTGCTGTTCCATGGAGATATTCTTGCTATAAGAATTGGTGGTGTAGTTGACTGAAATTATAAATTGTTGGTTAAATAAAATTCAGTTAAAAACCGACTTAATCAGCAATGTTGGAATCACTGAAATGGAATAATTTTAACTAGTTTTTGTAAGATTACTGCCTGGATGGAAGTACCATTTTTTAAACACCTCATATCATATGCATTCGTCTGAGTGTAAAATCACAAAGAATGAGCGCATATTCACAAGAAAAAATATGAAACAAAAGCGATAACAATATTAATGACTCGGAAGGGAAAAATAATCCACAGAAGATGATGGAACTGACTAAAAACATTGCAAATTATCAGGCATATAAGCCAAACATATAAAGTGCAAAATAAAACATGATAATAAGATGTGATAAACTTTTCATATATGAAACGGAATGACAACTTGCTCACTATTACTAGTTACAGATTATTTCAAAATGGAAGTATTTTTTCTTGACAGCAAATATGGAACTCAAACAAGTGTAGTATAATAACGACCTGTTGATAACAGAGAAGACAAATAGTATCAGATACTGCCCACGGCTACCAGAAAAACTATAAAACATTTTTTGTACATTTAAAAAAATGAAAAACATCGATACACCGACTCAGAAACAACACTGCATCGATTCATATCAGCTTGGTTCGCTTGTCCCATTCATATGAAACAAAAGCGACAGAAAATTAACGACTCCAACAGAAGAAATAATCTAACGGATAATGAGGAAACTGAATATAAAACAGTGCAAATTATCAAACTTTTCAGACAAGAATATAGAGTGCAAATAATACATGACGATAAAGGCGAACAAAGTTCACAGGACTCTTCACATTTTATGGCAACATAAACAGCTATAATAATAAATTGGAACTGAATACATGGAAAAAACACTAAAAAATATATATATATATATATATATACGACAGCCAAAGATAATAAATGGTAGATCTTGCAATGCATCTCCGAAAAGAAAATAATACCAAGACAAACATAAACTCCCTGATATAAATTACAATTGCCGTTATTTAAGTGCCATTATAGAAAATGCACGATCATTTAGAATAACATTACTTAAAATCAAATAACATAAAGCAAAGCAGCGACGAACACTATAAAGTACGAGATCATATACTGTAGTTTCTCATAAAAATTATTGTAACTGCTATTACTGCAAAAACGATAAGAATTCTGCATGCTGCAAATGGGTTAACTGAAAAGAGTGTTATTCAGATTTGTAAAATAAGAAATAAATCGAAAAAACAATGAACCAAGATTCAACAGCAAGGATTTAACATGAGGGGATAATATAATACAATGTATGCAATCGGTTGAAAAAGTTTAAAACACAGTATTAATATAGTATAAGTATCTGAAATGAGGCTCGAAAGAATGATTAGTTCAAGTTTAACTCGCACCTCTGTTTTCTTGGTCGAACAGATCTGCTGTGTAATCCCTGAACATCTTGATCGCTTTCAATGTCAAGAGCTCACTGATTCGCAGTGCATGTAGCAGCGTGGCGAAATGCTCACGAATGTATCGCCCTCGTGTTTGCACATGTTCTGATAAACTGATTTCATCATTTTGAATAGGATCTATGTAAGGCACTGTCACCGATGAACCAACATGACTTTCGTCACTTCCATTCCCATGCTGTGCTTCTCCGCTCTTCAAGTTTTCAATAACAACTTCCGGATCTCCGGAAATTATTGCCGTGACTTCACTAACCATCGCACTTCCATTTCTTATATCCACTGGTGTATTCTTCTTTAACACAACACAATCTGTACAAGACTGATTTCGAACTGATATTTTTGTTGTTTCCAATCCTTGCCCTTCTCCACTATGCAATGGTTGTCCTTGATCAATACAAGTCGAATGTAATTCTTGTTGTGAGCAACGTTCGTACCTAAATTCTTTGGATAAAATCCAAAAAAATAGAAGAATTGAAGGATTAGGAAAATTAATTCACTGCTCAAACCGAAAAAAAAGTGCTCAGAAATATATTCAAACTTGCCTAAATGTTCTCATATCCATTCCAAATTCTTTCTTAAACATCGCGCTCATTTCTGCAGCTGTAAAATGTGGCTCAAGATCCTCTAGTTTCGGCTCAGGAGTCGGCGATTTTTTCTTGGAATGTGCAACACTTCCGCGTTGACGACCGCGACTTCTACGTGACTGACTTTTGCGCGTTCGCTTCATTCCTGACCGAAAACGCTTAGGTGGTCGAATACACTTTTCCTTAAAATTATTACATAGTTTAAGGAAGAATGATTGAGTAAGTCAGCGTTGGTAAATTAAAATTAGCCCCATTCAACAGATAAACCAATGTCAGCACAGTTAACGCCTGATAACTTACTCCATTACGGCTGTGCAACTCTGAGATCAGCTCAAAAACATTAAATATAAGACGTCGTTGACAAATGAGCATATAAGTAGTGGCATCGATTTAGTAATAACGAAGACTGATCAACATTTAATGTTGATTTTATCCCCGAAGTCACTATATTCATACTATCTTTCACTGCCCTAACATTTCTATCTTTAAACATTTGAGTAAAAAGCAAACCCGAAACAATTTGCGTGTATAATTCATTGGTGGATGAAGCTTCATTGCTATATTTGCATCATAATTCCTTGAAGTTGGAATAATTTTGGGAGGAACTGCCTTAGTAAATGACAGAAGTCGATTTTGCCACTTTTCTTCTCGAACGCTATCATTATCATGAGGTTGACAATCCTTAAAAAGACGATGTAATACGATAAATTAAGGTCCATATTGGTGTGTCGCATAATCCATGAAAAATTAAGTAACATGTAATCTAAAACTGCAAATAAGCCGCAACTCTCGGAAAACCTAAACCTATATTCCATCCCTGCTAAACAAAATTCTCACTAAAACTACTGCACTGTTAATGACAAGACAAAGTTTACTGAATCGCATTTTTGTCAGATATGACGATAATAACGAAAAAACGGCCTCAATTTCACAATTTGATCCAGCCATATGCTCTTCATTTCAAAACCTAAACAGTTTCTAAATTAAGCAAATCAGTTGAAAGTAAACTGACTTCTTTGTGACTATTTATCAGTTCGATATAAGAAGCAGGGTCACTGTATCTAACAAGATTAAGCATCTGTTTTGTTGCTTCATTTAAATTGTCTCGTTCAGCCTTCCGCATATCCGATAATCTCTGATGGACTGCTCGCACTTGACTGAAAATTTCTTTTCAAACATTAAAACTACTGGAATAAAATCTAGCAAACATGTCCTCCTAAATAACTACTGATTGCCGTTAAAGTGATAGCCATGTCCGGCCATAACAACCATACATTCCTGAAACAAAGACACAACAGTTGAAATTTTAACCATTTATGGATTAATCATGTGTAAAATGGAAAGACTGAAAATGAAAAAAATCTTCTAGACATAGCATTTCATAACATATATTCCTTATGGGTGCAAGGTATGCAACAAACCTTAAGGAATGCAATGTCCGAGAAAGATTTTTATCTTCTCCAATTCGTTTCCTTTTACAATTCAGTTCTCTCTCAATATTCATAAAGAAAGCATCATCGGCATCCCGAGCTTCTGACTTCCTTTTTCTACTGAGAGTGTACTGGCTTATATTATCATATAGAGCAACAACACTGTTCGAAGCCTGAAACACGTCAATGAAATAACTTGCCATAGCAACTGTTAACATAAACATAGGTAGAATAAATAAGAGCGACAAAAAAACTAAACCGAAAATCAAAAGAGAATCAAACACAAAAATAATCTTCACAGATCCGCCTAGATCTAACTTCGTGCCTTAAATGATAAAGACTCCAGTTTTCAAAAAAAAAAAAAAAATACCGAAGATATTGATTAAGGTTAGATAACAATTCAGAAAGTAATACCAAGATTCACTGTATATTTCAATATGCTGTAAGTCAAAAAATTAAAACTGAAAGCATTCTTTTCCAATGTCCATGTAGACGCATGCTCATACTACTGATGTTATTCATTCTTTTGCTATTCCCAAATATCCCGGTTTTTCTGAAGAGAATGAAATGCCATACTTGAGGTAGAGTGTGAGGTAGTTCAAGGGTTCCAAATCGGTCTGCAATTTTGATTTCGAACAAATGGTCATCTTTCTTCCTTCTTTTTCTTCTTACATGCTGTTGTTCATTTCTCCCTTCTTGTCCATCTGTAATACGGTAAATGATTCCTCTCAACGTCAACAACTGGAACCATTAAAAAATGAATCTTTAGTAATTGCCTAAGCATTAGATACTGAATAACATTCACCACTTTTATCATTTTCGATGGCAGTTTCAATAATTTCCGCAAGAACTTCTGCAACCGCCTGTAACATTTCGGTTTCCGGATCACGTCGACTGGCGTAACCGAAAGGTTGCAGACCACGAGATAATCTAACACCAGTTTGTATACTTCTCCGAGGTGACATATGGCCAGTTCCTGCTAAGCCACTTTTCGCGCTATGTGTATAAATTTCTAAAGCTTCTTCAAGATATTTGTAAATGTATGCAGGCTCATTATTAACATTTTTCTCAAAAACATTATCGGAGGTTGAAGGTGAACAAATCGAATAATTTTCAAGAAATTTCTCTGCCTGCTTTTTCGCTGCCACAAGTGAATAATCCTCCAATGGAGCAACCTGCAAATCATACAACTTCTGGATACCTAACATGATTTCACATTAAAATTTAAATAGATTTTATTTATTGGATATTCACATAAAAAATTTTTAAGTGCAAACCAAATTTAAATTTAGTTCAACATCGGCTGTTACCGACTGCTTTGTACTGCGAAAATGTTCCTGCAACATCCAGCGTTTCACATATATTCGTTTTATTACACGTTCGCAACAGGTGATGCGATCAAAACGTTGCCAACGGTCTTTTAAACCAGAACAGAGAAGCATTTGAGCAAACACTTTCCGATTCTATAAAAAAAAGATTTAACTTGATATGGCTTTCCCCCTCATAAACCTAATCTTTGTAAAGCCATGATTTAATTCACTGGCATACAGTTCATTTGACCCTAAAGATTACAAAGTAGCAATTTTCCGCTTTCCAAAGAAATTTATATATGCATTGATGTCGATTTTCTGACTACCTAACGATTATTATAGCAATAAGAAATCTTAAACACATCAGAAATACTGGAAGCGTAAAATTTTCAAATAATTTGTGGGTCACGAACTTTATGTCAGTACCAAAAGCAGACGAAATCTAGTAAATGTAAATGATAACTGTTAATTTACTGAAATAGACAACGAACAACTTCGTCTTATTAAAAGAAAAATACTATGCAATTACTAAACCTGTTCAGTAAACTGACAACATTGGACTCTACTTCTTCCAACATCATTTTGAATATTCGATGTGCTTTCTGATGTGATGGCACTTTTTGGTGTAGTCGATCCAATGGGTTCTTTTGCTAATATTGTCGCCACCTACAGCACAAAATAAACATCACATTACTGATATTTAACCAGAAAGTCAGAAGTGATTGAAGGACGTGTTTAGTGCAAAAAAAATTTTCCCTCAGAATAAGAATTATATTGAAACGAATTCTGAGAAGACTCACGTGAGATAAGGTTTCATCTAAAACAATTGATGAACTATTCCCATTTATCTTGTCCTCACCAAAGAAGCAGAATGTCGCGGATATATCACATGAGTTGTCATGAATCCGTTGATTATTTGGACAAGAATTACCTGGGACGGCTATTTCTAACCTACAAACAAATTTTATAATCAAAAAAAAAAAACGGAAGTAAGCAATGAAAGCAAATGAACCGTTTAGTGAATCATATTTACTAAGACAAAGAGATTACAACATATTGAAATCAGCTATAATACTAGAAGTAGCAAAAATCCTTTTGATCTATTCTTAAAATATTCCCAGTTCTCCTTTATAAACATAACGCAAACTTAACCGTTTCTTTTAGAAAATTATCTTATTGGAAACTGTACTATAGAGTGCCAAACACATAAGCAGAATTATCTGTTTCGAATATCTCAAAGCATAAAGAAAACAGCTTCCGTTACTATAATCAATCGCAAAGCAAGTAAAAAATTACCCAAATATATAACACATCAAGTAAGTTGTATCCTCAATTTTCTGAACTTCTGCTTCTTCAATACATTTTTCGTTAATCTGGGATCCTATTGTTTCTGAATCTGCACATTCTATTTGTCCATATTGTAGTGATGTCCGCTTTTCATCAACAAAACTACTGAGCGGCCGTGAATTAGAGTCCAGCTCAACAACAGCTGGGACTCCTGATGCAGATAACTTATTTCGTGAGACCATCTAAAGTTCATCAGCTACCACCAAAAAAATTGCAAATAAAATTTAATAAAACACAAGAGAGTATCTGAAGAAACTACATAAAGGGAAAGGACTTAACAAGTTTTTTAAGTATATATACATTTGTAAGAAATGGGTATTCTGAAATAAGTTTCAGGAGCAAAGTAACATATCATTAGAAAAATAAACTGCTGGTTTTTTTAAAAATTTCTCCATGCAACTATGACCAGTGAACCAAAGAGGCAATACTACTTTAATACAAATATGTCAATATCTCATGGATAGAAAAGGTCAACGCGAGAGCGAATACTTTCGTAATAAACAATAAGAGCAAACTTGAGCTTTCTTCATCCTCTTCACCTTTGTGTAACTATCAGAACTAATCTGATGGGGAACTGACGCTGAAACGCGCTGCTGCAGCGACATTGTCCCCGAGCCATTATTATCTATGCGCACTCGACTGCGCCGTTTGGGCACTTTTTCAGGCACTGGACTTTCCATTTCTCTAAAAAACTTTTTTTTCATAATTTTAAATTAGTCCCGAATTACCTGCAAAGAACACATGGGAAATGACAGACCCTGAGTACAGCTCTACTTAAGGAGAACGGAAGCAGATGAAAATATGAAGCGCTAAACAATGTTTCTCTGCAACAGATCAAGAGCGAGGATCATGAAAACAACTAATATCATGAAAAAAATTATGAGTGGTTTTGCAAAGTATGGATCACTAAAACAGTAAACATACCGTGATTCACATTCAAGATCTGCAGATTTCCAAGTAAGTTCATCTTCCACAGTAACGAAAGAGTCTCCAACGACTCGTTCAGTATTTATAAGCAACTGAAATTTCATGAAAATCTTATTCAGAAATCTATTCAAATATGGACCAGTAAAATCACACCTTCATTTTTTCCGCATTTGTACATTCGAAGTTTTGCTTTCTCAGTCTTTTCCGTGGTGATACTTCCACAGTTCCAGCAACAGCAACCTTAGATAAATATAAATTACGAATAAACAAATCTTTTCTGATGGCTCATGGATTCAACACACATCTCTAACCCGACATGGAATCTTGCGGCTTATTTTCTCCGCTGCAATGAGCGAACATTTACTCGAAAAAAAAAAAATAAAATCTTTCTAACCTGATCTGAAAAGTTCTTTGTGTTTTTTACAACGTTGCCAATGAGTATAGCAGGAGTTTTCCTAGCAAAGATTCCTCGAGCATCAGGTGACATGCATGATGCGCCGCTCAACATGCGACCGTCTGTAGCACTTGTGCGTTTGAAACACATTAAACTGAAAAATAAAACAGAATGGCACATACAAATAATCAGAATTTGAACAGCGAAAACTTACCCCGAATTGTCTTTCACTGCAGCTAAGGATGATCCCAATACTTCCTGATACGGGCCTGTATGTGGATGAGCTTCTGCAACAATTAAGCGACGTACCGCAGAGACAGAACCTGAAAAAGTTGTGAGACCTTCAAAAAAGCTACGTATAAAATAGAAGTAATGAAAATACGAATATTTTGCAGTAAATGTCTGATAAAATCGTGACATGCTTTAAACTGCTCCATTGTAACATTAAAGTTACCTGATTCTCGATTTTTGCGCAAAATAGTGGGTCGAGCGCTCGGCCCCGGATATGAGGTACCAGCTGTGCCATCATGCTGCCCTACAGGAACAGAAATACATGTGTCATGGAGTGCAGCAACAGATGAAGCAGAGGTGGAACACGCTATGTTTACAGTTGATGCGGGTATCACGACAGGTTTCACATCTGTTCTTTCATCAGAAATACGTGTTACTACCTTTGCACCACGTATGAAGTCCTGAACCAAATAAAATTTTACAAAACGAACAAGAAAAATTTTGTTCTGTTCTCATTTTTTTCGTTTAGTATATACAATTACAAATTTTAGCAGCTTATCCATCATCATTCCAGGAAGGTACAACTGTCTTTTGCAATAAAAACACTCTCATTTCAAAAGCAACTTCCGAGATATAGCAAAATATAACAGGAGAATGCAAAAAACGCCAAGTTCTTCGATGCTTACACAACATATGCCTACAAACTAGAATTAAAAAGACATTGTGAAACATACCGCACTGCTTATAATTGGATTAACTCGAACAGAGCTTCGGACCGGTATATCGCCAACACCAACAACATTTCGACCGGATGTTAAATATCGACTTAAAAGAATGAAATGAATGTATTAATTTAGTTTATTTTCAATTCCACAAAAAAAATTTAGTCTTCGGTGATCAACTAATTAGCTAGTTGGAAATCAACTAATTAGCAATGAAAAGTAAATGAAGAAAACCTCTACTAACCACATAATCAGTCTACAAATCCAGCGACTGAAAAAACAAGTGGCTATGAAAGACTCGAATGAATTAACTTTAGTATATATCATGAAGGAAATATTTCGGTATCAATCTCAAGTAAAAGTCATACCGTGAATCAATGTTCCCACAGTTTGTAAAAGTAGCTGGAGAAGATCGAATAACGCGTGATTCCTCCAATTCCCGAGCACGGGATGGCGATAAGGAAAGAGCAGGTTGCTGTGCATTTGCTAAATGTAAATTATGTTGTTGTTGAAGATACACTGTCGTCATAGGGCTACCACTGATCTGAGCAATATCATCTGAAAATAAATGTTCCTTAATTAAAAAAGAAATTAATAAACGACTTAAATAAGTACAGCGTGTAAACTAGTTTAATATCAAACAAGTAATGATACTTCATTCTTACTATTTTTTATGACACTACCACTAAAATGTTCAAACTGACAGCCACTCCAAAATTTTCAAAGCGCCACGGAAAGTTCCAAGTGTGCTTTTGTTAGAAAAACAATAGATTATCCCAGCTTGCTATAAATAACGAGAATTTTTATAATATTAAACTTTCCTAGAACTTGACGTCGCAGGTTTCTGTTTAAAAGAAGCTGGAAATGTGCAGGACATATGTTCGACAGAACTTGATTACAAAATCAAAAAATAAATCATCCCTTAAACTAACATGATTTCAAAAAGGAATGGGCGGCTCCGACTGGACGTATGGTAACTAATTTAGAACGACCAGGAACAGTAGTTGCGCACTGCGGAAGAGAAGAAACTGATGTTGTTCCGTATGCATGTACCATTTTTTGATTACCGTTTGAACAACCCGCTGGAAATGGCGCACTTGCTTGGCTCCTTATGTACGTCTATAAATAAAAATGCTTATCTAGCAAACTTAATATAGAAAATGATACACACTGAAAATATATGCACTGAGCTCGCTTTGTATGATAAGAAAAAAAAAATTTATGACACCATTGCGCTTTTGGAAATGTAGAAACCAACCTTGACAAACTGACGTGAATTCTGCTGTAAAGCAACACTCGGCACAACCGGAGCAATTCGCGCTATAGGAACACTAACTGACTGCTGGAAGAAGCGTCGACCATCTCTCTTAAAATTCGAAAAATAAAATATTTAACAACTTCGATATCAACAGCTTAATTCTGTCCATACGAGCAGAAGTTGTGAACAACATGAATATAATATATTAAACTCACTCTTTCAACTTCATCAACAGCTGGCATCGTCTCATCGCAAGTTAAATCTGAAACTGTAATAACAGTAACGTACCACATTTACATTCACCTTACACATGATAGCAGTTATCACATCTGCAATCTAGAGATCAAGTTCGATTGAATAAAACCAAACACAATTTTAGAACTTACCACGAGACATGGTAGACTGTCCAACGAGAAGGTCTACATTAAGCGGACAAAAATTTCTAGAAAAAGTGCACTTCGAAACACTGACAAAAATTATTGCACTACGCAAAAGAAACAGATCGTTAAAACCGTACCATCCAGCTAAAATAAAACATAACAAATATCACAATTCGTAAATAAAAATACCACTGAAAATGAAGAAAACGTTTAGTATTCCAAGAAAGGATGAAGGTTTCGAAAGTTAACATAATGAGGAAATGCTGCTGATAATAATTATAATCCTACGAAATTACGGACAACAAGGGAGTTAACATTGCGAGGCGGAAAACAATGTCCCTACATATATGTAAGGCAAAAGTTGTATAATTGCAAAGATAAACCGAAATATACGTAATGAACGAAATGAGAACAACTCTACAAGATGAGTGTAACAAAACAACCAATGATACAAGGAAATGCAGTGTAGTGTGCTTCTTAATTGTAGCATCACTGCATGCGGTGTTTGCGTCACCAACCCTGAAGCCATCCTTACTCCTAGCCGGATGTTTCTGTAACAGGGAAATATCAAACAAAATGTAGCCAGGAAAAGATACCCAGGTAGAATGCATTCAAAGTCTCAAGAAATAACCAGCGAACACAAATTTCACGCGACACAAATTCACGAGCAGTACCAGAAGAACGACAGCAAGCATTGCAAATATTGAGCCCATTCGATGCTATCGAATTTACTGACAGCCTCGGTTCTCGCTCTCCTGCTCTCTGCAATCAGCACTGCCATCTCTGTCCTCCTCTTCATCTCTTCTGGTGTGCAGAGAAAAAAAGTTCGACGAGGCGGAGAAAGAGCATTAGCTATCATCGTTTCACTTCTTTTATGTTTTCATGTCATGTCATATGAAAAAAGGGCACGATTAGCAGTATGTCCCGATGATGGATGCGGTTGTGTTTTACATCTGCACTTACTACTCCCGAATACTTGCTACTGCTACTGATAAAGAGATACTGCCATGAAAGGTCGGGCTGAGGCCACACATACCTCACACTCTTCCTTGCTTCTTTACTTCAATATTCACACATGTATTCACTGGAACACATCGTCATATGTACTCTTCACCCCGCCACCAGGATTAACTTTCGTTTAAAGATTGTTTGGCTTTTTTTGCTAATTACAAATATTCCACAAAACAAATTGTAGGAAGGCGATAAAAGCACGCTTCAGTCGCAATGTGGTATAATTGATATTACACATACAAATAAACAGTTGTCGAAATGAATAGTCAATAAGCATTAGTTATTGAAACGGTCGATAATTTTGATGTAGTGCGTCGATCGTGGAGACTGGCAGACGACGGTACGCAGTGGGATGGTGGCTTTGCGAGGATGATTGGAAGAGAGTTGCAGAGAAACGTCGCGAAGACGAGAATTGTGCATTGCTTTAGAAATTGCGCAAAGTTCGACATATTCTGGGTAAGGGACTTTTGTGATGTGTATCATCATCATATTTGTGATATGTATGATATGTCTATAATAGATGGTATGATGGCTAATGATCGTCTAATGTAATATTTCTTGAGCACTAGTTAATTTATTCTCCTTATCACTAGATTATGGAGACGAGAGAAACTCCTGAACTACCAATGTAACTATTGCCCTTTGTGCTGTAAAGACTAATCGCAACTTTCTTCAGTAGTTCAGCTGTATTTGTCCACCCATTTCTAATGCTTCGTCCTCAGGAACGTATGTTAACCTGTTTTGCAATTTTCCTCTTACGAAAGTTTTGCCCGTTCAATGTATCTCAAAATAATAACTAAATATCACTTCTCATAGGCTTATTAAAGATAGGAACGAGACTCCTATGGCTTCTCAAATATTGTAACCCCATCCAACTACGGTGCGGTAAGAGCTGAAGAGATGCATTTTATCATATGTATTATTTAACATCGAGCTCGTAAAATATATCCCAACTATTTTAGGCAAAATTAAGACATGTTATCGATATTTCTACATAAGCTAGTTGTTATTTACAATACAGTAAATTATATCGATGAAGATAAACATCTGAAAATGAAAATAACAAAATATAGAGATTGAAATTGTACAAAAATTCTGCTCAGTAAAAGTAACTTTAATGAGTAAGTATAAAAGAATGGGGTTGTGTCCGAAGTCACGTTCATCTTATTCAAATATATTCTAATATTTTGTAATATATGTATCCGAAGTCACGTTCATCTTATTCAAATATATTCTAATATTTTGTAATATATGTAAAGTTACTTTGCTTTGGCACAAGTCATGAAACCAATACTCCAAGGATTAGATTTCCCCTCTTCAGCTCAACAAATCCATCTTCACATTCTGATAATGAAATCTACCCTTCTTATAGCTTACTACGAAAACAGAACTTCAACCGCAAACAAACAAAGGCTACGAAACCGTCGGACTGCTATCCATCCGATAAGAGACCACTTCGAGCGCGAAAATTCGTTCAGTTCACTGTGTGAAATTTATTGTCTCCTATTAAAAGAAACGTCCGGATTAGAAACGTAGGTTATACGTTTTGTTTCTAGGGCAGCTGGTACTATTTGTTTTTGCTATAAACAAGATTTGTGTGTTTGTACTTTGAGAAATATGGAAACACGAAACATTATATTGAAAAATTATTGCGAATTTGTAAACAATGCTTCCTTAATATCTCATGTTTGATAATGTTTATATGTTATTCATTGTGGGTTTTTAATGTGCTCATTACTTAGGCAATCTAATCGGTGATTTGTCATTAGAATGAGAAATTTGGTAGTGTTGGCAACTTTTCTAGTATTTAAAGCATGAAAATTGTTCTAATTTCATTAGCTTTCTATTTTAGAGCAAAAAAATTGGTTCATGATGACACTTATACTTGATGGGGTAGTACTTGAACAGACGCTGGCCCTATTGAAATTAGAAGATGCTCGTGATCTTCATCAGGCATTGAGGGCACTCGATTTTCGAGAGGTAGTACTATTATTGTTATAAAACTGGCAGCATATGTGCAGGCAACGTACTAGAAACCAAGACTGTTCAGACTTTCAATACAATGTTCTCAGTGTTACTGACCAATGGAGGATCATCTTTATACCTCAATCCTGACTCCATTGACCGTTTTTTGCATTCGTAAGCCATATTAATGCTACAGTTCTGAAGAGTTTGAACTTTTTCTTCTGGGAAATCGGTGGAAAAGGTTTGTTATCGCTGGCAACTTTTCTTGGCAAAATATGTGATTGGAAATGGTGATGAACACTTTTGGTTCAAATTTACGTAATTGTAATAAAGCTTCATCAACCCTAGCAAGCACATTGTATTTTTTGCTCTGGGTTCCGGTAAATTATGTTACCCATGAACAGCATGTGATGAAACATTCTACAGTTGTTGTTCATGCTTCTAATCATTTAACTTTTTCGTATGAAAAGGTGACATAAACGAAACTACATTTCCACTTTTCTTCGCTGGCATGCAAATCAGAAAGAGAAAAACGTGGCACTTTGTATTTCATTTCTTTCACTAATTTTCTTACGCAATACCAATTCCTTCACCTGCAAGAGTTTGAAACACAGTGTCTATCTAACTCATTTTTGTCAACCAAAAGATGCAAAAAGGTGAGTATTTTCCTACATGTTCCAGCACTGTAAAAGAAGATTTAAATGATGTAAAATTTCCTTCTCATCTATTTTGTTTTTACATTTGCCGTCCATGAAGGCGACTAGTTGCATGACAACTCTTAAGTTATTGAAATGTGGGAGCAGTAGATCGGGTGGCACTTTTTCCCTTTCATTTAAAAGTGTGGTCATCTCGGCCTAAAGCTTCTTACCTAATCTAACGACGAAAACCTTATATATTTAGTTCTGCTTCGTCGATGTCCACTTCCTTCAAACTTTATCTTTTTACGTAATTCGTCAGCAATTTCCTTCTATATATTTCCAAATCTATAATTTCGAACTTAGTGTCACTCGTCTTCACGGGTATAATTGTTATGGTACCTGTTGGGTTCCTTTAAGAGGGAGATATTCGACACTTACGTAAGTTATCTTTTTCCATAGTTAATTGCTTCCAGTGATTGTTTCGGAAATTGTTGAACCACTAACGTCCAGTCTTTTATGTTTTACCTCCCTCAGTATTAGATTCAGCTTGGCAGTTCACTTCCTATTCTTAAATTCTCAAACACAAAGTACATAGTTTCAGTACTTTTTTTATAACTGCTAGAACTATTTTGAATTCTTGTGTGAAGCATATAGCAATCGTTTCTCTGTTGGAAGAGTTATCATAGGATATATCAGTATCTGTAAGTTATTGTTCAGGAAATATGCATAATTTGTTTTTCTGCACCACACTTCATTCCGCATATATGGCGCAGAAAAGTAAATGACGAATATCTTCTGAACGATAACTTACACATACTCCATTCTCACTTTTGTTTTGTTGAGCCAGTTGTTGCTGGTGTCCACTTTGGTACTGTTTCATCCGTGCATTTGATTATCTTTCGCATTTTGTCAATTTCAAACACTTGTTCATTTGCATTCCTATCTGTACAAGTTTTGTATCAAAATCTCCCGTTACACTGTATGGCCATATTTTATATGAGCTTTGATTTCAGTTAGTTATGGGGCTCTAAACTAAACTGTTATTGACCATCGAGGCGTGCACTGCACGATTTCGGGGTTTTCATGTGTTTGGCAGAAAAAAATACAACGATTCCTGAAAAGCGAAATTCTTAATAATGGTTTTTGAAAACCTCTTACAAACTAAAAATTTACAAGTTGAAGCAGAATAAGTTCTGTTGTAATGCATAGAACTAAGAACATACACCTTCATGGTTCAGTTCTTCTGCATGCTGATATGTTGAGCATAGTGGAGTTCTATGGGACAGAAATTATGCATTTAAAAATTAACACATGATGGTTTGAGAACATTGTTACTTAAATTTTTCCTTTGCTTTTTCATGTTGTGACTCTATTAAAATAAATTGATTTAAGCAGAATTAATCTGTCAATACAATAATCGCAGTATTGCCACTTTATACTTCTTCTCGTCGTTTTTTATCAGTCTTTGTTGCATTGCAATTTCTGAATGTGTTGAAAGCGTAAGTTACATGCTTACTCAGTCTTTCTTGAACCGTTTGGAAAAGGCCAGCAATGCAGTTAATCGCTTCACTCATTACACAAAAGTCGAAATTTAGTTATTGTGAATAGTAACTGAGTTAGATATTGGTCGTTCTTTCGGGATTATTCGTAAAGTCAAAATTCTTTTAGAATTGTGTTATCGATATTAGCAAAAATGGTTTACGGATTGTTGTGGATGATCAGAACTGTGTTCAAGGAATCGCTTACTTTAAAAGCGATTTGTTTACTGAGTTTATTCTAAATGAAGATGTTGTGACGTTTCGTATATCTCTCCCTGTCTTTACGGTTATTTTTATTCATTTCAAGACATGCTTTTTCTTTCTGCTAGGCTTCTCAGTTTTGCCCTTTACTGTTTTTCTGCTAATTATCAATGCCACAGATAAACAAAAGTTTATTGCGGTGTAGCTACCTCTTTTTTGTTTACAGGAATGCTTGAGTGCCTTTGGTGCTGGAGTCAGTACAGTTCTGAAAATGACTTACGATGGTTTTGGCGAACCTCTCAAGGTCATGATCGAAAAGGATGGAATTGTTGCAAGGTGCTTAATTAAGACCCAAAATCCAGACATAGTAAGATTTCCCGTCTTTTAATGAGTTTATTAAATTGAAGCAAAACTTAAAAGGTATTTCTGATGTCAATACGAAAATCGGTTTAGGTGCTTGATTTTGATTTCAATCCTGGCACTGTTGCTGCAAAGGTTATAATGAAACCATGGATGCTGAAAGAAACATTTCATGAACTTGACCAGAGCAGCCCATCCGTTGGTTTCAAAGTTGACCGATTTTCACTTAGCGTAATTACGGAAGGAGATCTGGGTAAAATCAAGGTTTATTTTGCGCTTAAATATCATTTATAAGTTTGTTTTCTGAGGTGAGCGTTGCAACACTATGGGAGCTTTCCGTTATTTACTTAAGGCAGTTTTGTCTGCGTGTACGATGTCCGACTTCTTGAGCTATATTTTTCATCGTTTTTACGTTAAACCCGTAATTCTTTTCAGACGAAGTTTCCACATTATTCTGAACAAATTGAACGATTAGAATGTAAGCAGGATGTCGAGTTTACCTATAGGCTCAGTCTGGTAAAGCGAATGACTCCTTCGTTGGATATCTGCAGTAAGGTAAAGGTATTTTGGTGCAAGGTTATAATCACTCAAGTTTCTGTAGTGAGTACTGAATCTTGAAGAAATTCCGTAAATAAGAGGTATATTATTATATGGTCACTTGTAGTTATCTCTCCGTATTGATCACCGAGGCATATTGGCTGTACAATTCATGGTGGAGCATAATGAAAACAACCATATTTTTCTTGAATTCTTTGTAAGTTTGTTTTCACTATATTCCAAGTGAAAAAACTTTCTCAACGATTACGCATCAAATACAGCCTAGGAGCGTTTTTCTGGAAGTGGCTCACGACGTCCACCGAATTGACTAATTCCTCCAGTCAAATTTACAGAAGTCATAATGAAAGTTGATTGTTTTGCCTTTCAGTGTATACCTGATATCCCTACATCGGAAGAAGAAAATATCTCCATGGATTAATGCTTCAATATATTTGGATTGTGATCACTTTGGAAGAAACTTATAATATTTGCTGTAACCGATTTTTTTATTACCTTCCAACAATTCGAGTTTTTTAAAAGCAGGTTATACGGTTATTTTTTTCAGTCGAGCTTTCCTATACGTAGTGCTATGATTAGAAAAACAGTGAGGAAAGCTGTATTCTAACAATTTGTTTGAAAATTTAAATCAGTGTTTGTGTGCCTTGTTAACCCGACTTTCTCAATGAGTTATGACAAGTGTTTTATTCACTCGGAAAATTCATCATCACTAGTGCACATTTTACATGACCGTTGACAGTTTTCTATCATAAAACTAGAAAACAGTCCTTTGCAGAATCCAACATTTTTCCAATGAGTGCAGAAACGTTTCCGATCGCTGCACGTTTTTTGTGTTGAAGATACTTCAGTGGGATTTATTTTTGAATTGATTAGCTTTCTCCATGCGGTTCCAAACGATTGTTTTAGTCTGCAATTTTCAAATCATAATTTAGTGAACGAGATTGTAAAGTAAATCTGATGCGACTCAGGATTTAAATTGCAAAAATTGGGTCTAGGTATTTCAAATCATGACAGTACCGACATTCGAAGGTTGAGTGAACCATGCAAGCACGAAAGATTTTATAAGCTGATTAAATATCCTTTGCAGATGTTCATGGAAGTCATTATGGAGTATGTACTATCAATGAATGATTGGAAAATTCTGGTGGGATGTATAAAATGTGTGGAGGCGTAGAAACTAGGAAGTTAATGAATAATTAAGAAGGGCAAAATGTCCTGTTCCTTTTATCGCAATCTCACCTGTTGAGCTTCCTCGTTGTTGCCTCTGTTGTAGTTGTTATTACTGAACCTGTAGTCGATAATTTTGCTATTGTCACTGTTTCATTGTTTAACACTTGCACTGACTTGCAAAAATCACATGATCTTGGGCAGAAAACGTGCATAAATGCGTTTGAAATTGTACAGTGGCCATTTTGCACAAGTGTAAAACAGTCCGACCGCTGGTCCACACATGGCTGAACTGAAACCCTGTGGACAAGTAAATTAACTGAAATAAAGGCAGTTAGTTCTGTTATTATTTAAAGAGGTAGTGAGCTTAGATAATGTAAAAAGTTTTCAATATATTTCAGTAATGTTAATTAGCACACCTGTAAAATTGTTGCACATGTTACAGCTTTTTGGGCAGTAATGTTTCATCCATCGTGGGTTGCTTACACACCATCCTGAACAGTAACAATGGAGTATCATGAAAGCTTGAATATCGGGAATAATCTGATGATCGAATGCGCAAAGGGAGTGGTGATTGTGAATCTATTGAAAAAAAGCACAACAACAGGAAAAAATCAGAACTAATTCCAATTATTGTAGTGCTAACACCGTATCCTAAAACATTCTTAAAGACTATTTCTTCCAGTGCGTGAAGCCTTTCAAATGATGCAAGTTCCCAATGATATTGAAGCGAGTAACTTTAGGAATTTATAATTCACAAAATTACCATAAACGACGAGATCATTACAATTTGAACGAATGTTTCTGCAGGATTCAGTGATGATCAGACGTATGGATGCATTCGTGGGTTTCTGACTTTCATTAATTTTAGGTGATGAAGTTGCCGTTACGCTCTGTATTTCAGTCACACCTGGAATTATTAAAATTGAAAACTTACTAATTCAGAAAAAAATGAGCTAAACTACTGATAAAATACGCAAGTCTTTAAATCCTAAATGTTGTGTTGAAATCTTGATACAATCTTCATCCTAATGCTTCTATCATTTACATGCTAAACTTTCCTTCCAAGCTCTCTCCACATATGATAAGAGAAAAGTAAATTTCAAACAGTTACGAAGTGGACAGTTGTAAAGCTTATTGATTTTGAATATATCGAGTGTGCTGAAATGCAATCGTTGACCAATAGTAACGGGAATTTTCGGCACTAGTGTTGGTTGACCATTGCGACTAAATGCTCGCGGTCCGTAATGCATAATTGAATCATAATCATACTCAGCACCCAGAAAATCGATTATACCATGATCGTATTTTTCAAACTGCCCTGCAAACTGCAATGGATAAAAAATCCTAAATAGCTTTAAAGAAAAGCACGATTTAACAGCGGAATTGGAACACGCACTTTAAAGTGTCACTTTATTTGTCTCAAGAGGAGTCAGTTGCAATGTACTAGCGAAAGAACTAACCCTGCATTCCAGGTTGTATGTTTCCCCAAAGCACTGTTATATGATTATCTCGATCACTTCTGGACTGTTCATGGAAAAACCCGACCGCGTGCATCAATTCATGCATTATGATGCCCTTTTGTATGCATCCCATACCGAGCGATACTGTTTGTTTGCCACCTAACAGTGCCAATCAATACATTTAAAAAATCCTTGTTAAAAATAATTAAACTTACAATACAAGAAAAATATTTTGAATTTAGACCACGTCTTGTATTTCGATTAGATTATAGCGTGATTTTAAGTTCACATCACACATCATGCTTGACAAAATAGAAACAAATAGCGAGAACAATGAGATATGTAAATGAAATGAAAGGCCTAGTAGCAATTAGAGATGGCGTTTACCTGTTTTGCCAACCATTGAATAGCATCCTCGATCGGGCATTATGTAAATATAATCATAATCCTCAAAAGATCGCGGTACCCAACGAACACATGTACGTTGCGCATACTCCTCCATTGCAGATGCTATTACCGAACGACTGAAAACCATCATATATATCATATCACATCTCATCTCTATTATTAATCGTGGTGAATATAGAATTCAATATGATAAATCTTTCTCATCGAACCTAATCTTATTTCATAAGAAATGGAATTTCCTTTTTTACGATTTTCAAATGTTACGGAAATACACAGCACACAAGGAAAACATTCTTCAAAACACTCTGAAATCATTCCAGTACAACCTAAATTACTTTGACGTATTGACGACGTTTAGGAGTTAACTGCGAAACAGTGTGAGCTCTCAACCAACTTCCCAAATTTTATCACTTCCAAACGAATTGTTAAATTTTTTGCTATTGGTAAAAATCATGCGCACGTAATTTTTATGCTTTCTAGTTTGTTGAGAGATGTTACCTATATGGACTGTACTGGCTACTCATGGCATACGGTATTCGGGAACTAGGCCACAGTTGGTGTCGATTTCGTACCGCATTATACAGCACATTGTTTTGCGGATATGTATCATCCTTATCAACATTTGAATAGATCTGAAGATATGCTGACGGTGATTAATCGTAGAATTATGTGAAGAGGTATCATTTTGTTTGCATTATCGAATGAGCATTGCCAAGCTGCACTTAATCTACAAAATCGATAATGAAGTAATCACTTTGAAAGAATGCTATTTTAAAAATACCTATCATGTTTCTGAGTTGAGATTAAAATTTGAACAAAGAATAAAAAATACTAGAAAATCACAAAAACAAAGTTAGCACATTATCTAGAAAAATGAACTCACACTTTCTAATTTAATAACATCAATATCCATATCACCCTCAAATTTGCCACTGCTATAAATAGCCCTATCATCACTGTTTTGCCAGTTATTATCAAGCTCTGAAGCCATTGCGAAGTCGGATGGCAATAGAAATGTTTCAGAATCAGCTTTCCGCCGATCAAAATACTATAATTAAAATAAATACTGCAATCTTTATTTTCAGAGCAGTTTAGAATAATAACTGTAAATTCGCTAAATCGAAGTTTTACTTTTTAAAGAACTAGATGGATTGCGTGCAGTATTAAATTTTGAAAATGAGTAATGCTCTTCATGCAAATGTTTTCCATTTAATAACGTTTGTGAAATGGACGTCATAGTAGCCAAAGCAGGCATTCATTATAGCCAACCTTTAAATCATCCACATCGCCATCATCCATTGCAGCTACAGCAATATATAAAATTGTTTCATATACAATGACACATAAACTAATTTTTAAAAAAATCATGCGTCTATGTTGCGCTGCAAATATAATTGATATATTTCAATAAAATACTATGTAAGTAAAGTTATGAAAATTATGAAGAAGTGTAGCACACTACTCGGTATAGTTAATTTAGTGGTCTGCTTTTTGGAAACTTTTAAAAGCGTTTTCAATTTTCAATTTTTAACTCTTATATTATAAAACCGCAAATATAAAAATTTAATCAAAACATTGCTGAAATTCGATTTCCTAAAAAATATTAGACTTATCGAATCGCTCTCCTTGCTCGCTTCACATAAGAAATGAAAAATGTAAATGGATTTATACAAATTGAAGAACTTCTTAGCAGTAGGAAGATTTTAATTATGAAAATGACTGCGCCCCTCCACTCCACGTACAAGAGTCAATTTTCATTTGCTTTGTATGAAGAGTTTATTACTGATTCGGTAAGTGACTATTATTGATACTGACAAATTTTAAGTGAAATTTTGAAGGAACAGAAAATTGCTGGTAATAGAAAGTTGAAGCGTTCGAAGAAATGATTGCAGTCGGCTACCAATGTCAACGACAATATAGATATTGATCTGGTTTACATTTTAAGTAAACAAAATTCATAGTTTAGAGATGTGAAGATCGTATGCTAGTCCAAGGAACAAAAACCCGCAATTTGTATTATGCAACAGACAACGTAGATCAACAATCACTCAGCTCTTAAAAGTGGACACTGTTCATCTAACATTGCACGCGAACTCAAAACCAGTTTTCACGTCTTTGCAAGCTTGTATCACAACTTCTGACCAACTGTCGAATTCCAACTGGGAGTCTCACAATTCAGGAACGAGCAAGATAAATTACACAGTTATCAAACCACGGTCCACTTTGTAGCTTCCATAGTTGGAAAAATGGGATTAAGGAAACAGTACTAGGCATCGTGTGAGCTTAGTTTAGCTGTAGCCTCCAAACCAATGCACTCATGTAGAAACTCAAATCTCGACCAGCAAGACAGTAAGAGATCACAAACCAAATCACAACCAGACATGAAGTGAAAAGTACATGCCATGATTTACACGGTACAGAAGGCAAAATTCCATATAACCTTAATCGTGCAAATTCGATAATAACTCAGTTTGACATATCTATTTCCACTGTTATTTGAAAATGTGTATGGCTGCATTGATATCCCAGTTGCCTTTTAATTTTTTATGTTTAGGAAACCCGCACAACATAATACAAACCAAAAAGTATCCATAAAATGCCTGCATTCCCTCACAGCAAGCAAATAAAGTTTGTCCACTCATTTTTTTTTCCTATTTACCTTGAACATTGCAAATTGCATGGGAAAACAAAGCTGCTACACTAATACAAATTGTATAAACCACATCTGTAAACCTATTAAAGCTATAAAAAGCAAACTAATTGAAAAACAAACATATAAATTAAGGACTTCATACAAATGATAAGACTTATATCACAATGACGTGAAGTAGTTTGATGCCACAAAGGCAAGAATAATTAAAAATTAAAATACAGCCACCATAAATTATATAATAAATTATATAATACACGAAATATGAAGAGCAACAGCACAACAATGCTGCTGTTCGAAGTCAACAATTTCAACCCGAACAATTCTTAATTCTGACATTTGCAGAGGGTTGAATTTTAGCCAGATGTAAAACACAACTGTTCAAATGAACATATAAAATGAAATAATGAAAGTGACTAGTACTGTTTTCCAACAAGTCGCTGTTCATTCCATTTGGTTACTAAATCGACCAACCAAGAACGTGATTTGCTTTAAACTAAAATAAAACCACTTCCTTACTTTCTTGCAGATCAACGAACACATCAGTTAAACACTAACTGGGAGTTTTGAAAAAACAAGTTTCAAATTTTGGTCTTTCATAGTACTAAGTAGAGACAATAAGACAGGCAATTTCAGTCAGAAATTTTATGATTTTAATTGCTCTAACAATTTTTTATTTGGAAATTCAGGTACTCTTCTACTATATCTAATTACGAGATCATTTCGCAAAAATTTTTCTATCGTATTTTCGCCGTCACAAAAATGACCTGTTATAAAACTCATTTTCAGAAGCTTTCCGTTACATTAATAATGAAGTAGATTCCGATAACTGTGTGACATCTACTTGCTTTTCTTCGACGGAGTCTCCTGATCATATTTCACCTTACTTTTGTACCAAAGTACAAACGGAATAACCGTTGATGGTGCGACTAGCATCAAAAATACCAACCATACGCCCACTTTTGCCGAAAACTTTCGATCATAATCTTTTCGTCGATAAATATATCCTGAAGACATCCCTTAATTTTAAAGAATTCTTTCTATACCAACAAGTTTCGCTGTATTTTCCTACAATACGCATTACCTATCATTATATCTTAATTTCATCTTATTTGCGGTGATGCAGTGCTGAGTGTCCCACCATTGCAGTGAATACAAATACATATTATTGCAGTGGTTCAAAAAATTAACTATAGCGCACTAAAAATGTGAAACAAGTGTTCTAACTTCAAAATATATCATCCTTCATTAAACATAAGACCTTCGCCTGGAGCGGTTGTGTAGCTGACGCGTACTTCCTTCGCATCTTCAGTTGGATAATAAGTTATCTGAGCGGATAAATAATTAAATGCACCAATAACTCGTGGACGCACCACTACTGAATGTGAAACATTATTGCCGGGACCTATTCTTTCCCAACGTACCTGGAATTTAAAAATCAACTTTTCTTTTGGCATCAGCCGGCTTTTCAAAAACAATGTAATTAAAATTTAAGGAGGAAAAAAAATTAAAATCTAAAAAGATATCATTAAGATGCCCGTGTATCAGAAAAATTCAGTGCAGAACCAAATTACCTGCAAAAGGCCTCGTATAACATCAAAAGCTTGCGTTGGAAAACCATTTCGATCATCTAATGCTACACGTAGGGCAGCCTGGAAAACTTGTCTATCAAGCATATTACCACTCTTTTGTTCTACCGACCATATATATTGAACTCATCTAAATAGTTCAAATACGATCGGCAGAACGAAAGAGCTCAAACAAGACAAATGTTCAAAAAAATAAACGATGCAAACTCAACCTTTCGACCCAATTGTTGTTGAAAATGGTTAAATAGTGTTAATATCAACTTTCACTTAATATCAGTATTGTGGAAGCCTAAGCTAATGAATACAGTTACTCTAACATTCAATATCTCTTACCCTGTCTCCGACGTTATAAAGACGATAATCAATAACATAATCCATCCCTTCGACTGCATATTGAGATAGCGTAAATTTTGACGCAACAATTTGCGCTGAATCATTCATATCTGTGTCTTCCCCATATACGATACTTACATAAAACAAAAATGTCAGCAAGTTCCACCTCATCTGAAAACATAGAATTAGTGTGTAATTCAGATAAATCCATTTATCCACGAAGTGTGGTATAGAACAGATATACAAGCATTTCCTTACATCACTTACAGGGAAAGATCATAAAACAACCTATTAAAGTATGGAAATTTTGAAGTGAATATGTCCCCAAAACGTCAGGCAAGTCAACAGGCTAATTCTCTATGTAATGATGGAGGGTTAACATTAAACAGTGTGCACATCGATATTTCGATCAACAGAATGATTTATCACAGTTTTCATAAACTCAAGGGCTATAAGGACCATACCGTTCCGCATTCGACCATACGTATATACTATTTTTATATGAAGCGCTGAACCGAACGAACATATTTCGCACTCAGTATCCCACACTGCACCCCATACTACCAAATCACCCACTGCACACTCGTTGCACCTAGCTTTTGCGCAACGTCGTCCACCTCCAATCTTTTTCCAACTGCGGCACATTTGCGGCGCATGTGACGGGGTGCGCATTTGAGTTGCACGAGCTGCAACCACACTGTGCAATACGATGACCCGAGATAGTGCTCGATTTAATGTGACGTCGGGTTATTTCTAGTCAGAATGACCTGAACCGTTCGGATCAGGGGAAGCACCGATCTAAACCTGAAATTGACCTAAGTCATTATTCATCGATCACATCCAATACCAAATGCCGTTAATTTTTGGAGAGTTACGCACCTTGATTGGTTTAAAAATGAGAATTAGACAATGACGTAGCACTGTTAAAAATGTACACAGTCACAGAACCAGAATGGCTTATAAACCTGCATCTGTGTGATTTAATTAGCAATATCGGATTATACTGTCACTGCTCCCGCAGAAATTGAAGTTAAAGGAAGGTCGGACATATGGCGCATTGAGGAGAGGATATTTGTAATGGAATAAAAAAAACCAACGAAAAGAATGATGAGAATGGAATAGAAACTGCTCTGGGAAGTCAACTACTAAAAGTGAAAAGTAAGTCGGACTATAAATCCGATGAGTGGTTTCAACGCATCTATGTGGAACGTGGAAGATGGAAGATGAAACTATTGAAGGAAATGAGTAAATATTGTTACAAAAGACCTATCCCGTTAGATTTGCTGCGGAGATTACGATGGAATAGACGAGAAACGCCAATAAATAAAAAACTGATATTGATGCATTCTAGGGTTTCCTTTTTCTTCAGAAATTTGAGCTCACATTCATGCCACGAAAGACTTTAGTTATAACAAAGTTTGTTTTAAAGCGCACTTGCTTTGTTTGCTTCTATTTTACCTTCACTATATCCTTTCTATCAATATTTTATTCTGCCTCGAAGAATCCTTGCACAATATAATCGCTGAGAGGAGTATCATTAATAGTAAACAACCGATAAGTAGCCCACCAACACGGCAAAGCTGTACTAATAACTATTGACTTTTAAAATAAGATACAATTAAATGACTTTTCCCAGACCAACTTCACAGCAACGCAAACCCTCACAAAGAGAATCTGCCGATAGTATAGTCATGACCGAATAACAGAGCATATTAGTTCTGATTATTCAAGTTACTTTTTGTTCCTTGAAAGAATGGTCTAGAATTCATAACTTTTGACAACTGCAACAGTATAGGGAATGTTTCATAGATTTTAAATACTCATAAACTTTTTTCGAATGCAATGGTAGCAAATGCGTGATAGCCATACTTTTCTATATCAAATTATAGATTTAGTATCTATCAAAACATCAGGAAAAAAGAATTACGTCAACGTACACATTATATCAACATCTATCGAAATTCCTTTCCGATTTCCTCAAACACGGAATCTAAAAGCGTTTATTAATATAACCATAAAATGAAATGATGCATTTTACTTATATTTATCAGTAATTGAGTTATTGAATTTTTAATCATCATCGTTTGTAAAAGCTATAAATATACGGTATTTTGAAAATAAATTAGAAAGAATTCGATGTTCATTAGGCTTTTGGAGCAATGTCGTGAGTATTATCTTAGTGATGCTTCGTCATGTTCGCTAGCTTTTTGTCAACATAAGTTGCCGGAACAATGTAGCCAGCAAATGAACGACGTCCAATAGCTTCGCCAATAAAAAACCAACAAATTATTTCCACAGCAATACACGTTCGCACCAACGTATCCTATAGAAAGAATGAGTACGTTTACCACAAGCAATAACCAAATTTTTTCTAACGACCCAGTTTCATCCCCAATTTCTTCTTTGAAATTTACGAGGAAAAAATCTACTCATTATATGAACATATAGCGTTGAAATAGTGTATCTCAATGACAGCTTAGAATTCCGTCTAATCTCAATTCAGACAAAAACGATAACTATGCTGCACAAATGGCATTTCAGAATTTTTTTATCGTCATTCACAGTTCTGGTGCAAACATTGTATTTCTTTATGATGTTAAAGGACAATCCCGTTAAAATAAGAAAGATTAATCTTTTTTGACTATTTTGCTTCCAAAATTTAGTTTATACTGCTACAACGAAGTTTTGAAATCTCGTGAACAAGCTCCATTCCACTAAGAAATGATATAAAAGAAACAAGCAGTAATTTACCATAACGGTCCACTGGGTATATGATTTGCTTGCAATAGTATCCATCATTTGCTTGAAATCCTTCTTGATGGCTGGCCAATCTTCCTTTGTCGGGGGTCTTAGTTCTTTATGCCAACAATCTTTCCACAATGCTTTTCGCAGAGGAAGCTTAGAAAAACAAAGACTTTGTAAAGAGCACTAAGATTTCATAAATCCTACAGATGTCCTAAATTAGAAAGTATTCGATTTCCTGGATTTTGCTACAAAATCCATGTTTTTCTAGACATCTGAAATATTGACATTTATAAGGCTATCGGCAGCTTCCGATTTTTACTTAGTAGCAACATAATTAACGCTCGATTAAACCACTACCTGAGTCAGCTGATAGCGATAAATATGACCTGCAGCATTCGCCAGTTTTTCAAAAAGGCCTATCTGCTTCGACATGTCTGAAAAATGGACGGCTAAGCCAAACAATGGTTAAAGCTCGACATAAACAAACTGGAAATGACGGAAGAAGCAACGCACTCAAACAGGCCGCCTATTCGAGTCTTGCATGACTGGTTCGAGTGTACTACGGTGTTTAAGAGCCTAAACTCGAATACATCTCAATCTTGTTCCAGTAAAATAGCGATTTTCCTCGATAACCCGCTATGCCCGCACCAAGCACCTCTTAAACATCATGCATACAAAACGAGAAAACGGATTGCTAAGTATACCACTGCAAACCGTGAGAAAGACTTCCCAGGACATTTAACTTGGAAAATTCAAAGAATTATTTCTGAATGGATATCCAATTTGAAATAACATGTTAAGAAGTATTTTAATGAAATAAAAGGAAAAAGTAGAATATGTCCCGAACAGGACGCTCATCCGGAAGTAATGAATAAAGTGCATTCTTCGAGACTAGCTCAGTCACTAACTTCCTTGTTCACTCTGATCTCCATTCATTCACTCCAACAAACTCCACATAACGACTTAATCGCTACTCCTCAAATTTGCATACCGCTCATACAAGCCGAATCCGAATAATCTTGCTTAAAATTCGAACACGATCAAGGGTGATGATACATGATGGGGAGCGTATGGGTCGGTTCGTTATGGTATCGTCGTAAATGAGAGTTGGTTGAACATTGTTGGTTTTGTGGTAAGCTCCAATGGATGGAGCGAATGTATTCGTTGGTTTAGCCTCCTAAATATGGCTATTATGAGTGTGGATGCTCTAAAGAATTTAAATAATATTTACAACAGCATCCACAACTTCATCACCTTGTAAGTTGTTTCTCTAATTTATTTCTCATATTGGTTGGATGGAATTGGTTTTACGGTTAATGTTATGTTTATTCTAAACATATTTCAGGATTTCTACGATTTGACGGCTTTATCTTAGACATATTTCAGGATTTCTTTGGTTTGATGGCTTCATCCCAAACATATTTCAGGATTTCCATATATAATCATGTCCAGCACGAAATGCTTGCAAGAAGTGTGGATTTATTTTAACCCTTTACCTTACTTCAGCTGCTTTCGTTCCACAGCGCGAAGCATTTAAGTTCAGTGACTACTCTCGCCACTTTCGGTCATAATGTCTTTATTGAGATTCCGATATAGATTGCTTGGTAATGGCTATTACGTTACAGAGCTGAAAAAGGAAACGGTTCGGATATCGCAGTAAAGCTACGGTACTTGGAAGCATCACTGGAACAGTTCAGAGAATCTATTGATTCTACATCTGATATAATTGGGTATGATATGCATATTACGGATTAAACTGAAAGATGATTTCACAGATAATGATGAGTAGATGCTTTTTATAACGAATATTTTTTTGTGAAATGGTGCTATCTGCATTAGAAACAGATAGGGATAGTTCGGAATTTCTTTCCAGAACTTCCTTTGCATTATTTGTTTTATAACTTCCATCATAAAATGCTTGGGTAGAGAAAAAAGCTGAAAATTTTTTTTTTAGAAACGAAAATCACCAACGTGCAAGGATAGCTGATTTAAATCGGCGGATTGCACTGAAAGACGGTTTGATCAATTCATTTCGAAATGGACAACGCTCATTCAGCACATAATAACGACCTTGTATCGTTTTTCATTTCTTTAACTGCACTGGAATAGTCAGTGGTTTTTTCTTTTTTTTTTCTTAATTTCACAGACACCACTAGTACTACCACTAACTTTCAGGACTTAGTTGTTTTAGAATCTTTCTGCAAACAATCGAAATTCCCTTCCCATTCATTGCATGCGATGTAACTGCGCGATACTGTCTCCTAATGTTGCGTCCTTTGTGGATGCCAAGCCATTTTCATTACCGTTTTGTCAACAGGCGAAAAACAGTACTTCAATAAGCGCAGAGGTCATCAATGCATGGTTTGTTTTTCGTGAAAACATGCTTCGATACCATTAATTTAGAAACCATAACACTGTACAAATTCGAGTGGCGCAAAGCTCCAACACACAGATTAAAAAAAACATGCGTTGTGAAAAAAAAGTATTGTTGTTTAAAGCTGATATTTAGTACCATAATCATCAGGACCAAAGGTCGTAGTATTGTCATTGCCGATGTTCAATGTGATATATTTTCCAGCAATCTCAGGTGTTTTATAAAGGCATGGTTTTTATTGGTAATTCTAATCAGGAGATGAGTTACAGCATATTTCAAGGGAGATCGGTGAACTTCATTAAATTACGACAAGGGATCGTCTCACTAATTTCTGCATAATACTGGTAGTCATTATCTGCGAACCTCGTAAATAAGAGGTATTAATGTTAGGGACTTTACGAATGTTGTAGGTGGCAGGTTGAGAGAATGTTCGACTTTGAAAATATTGGTTTTACGCATGCGCGCGATGGTGTCAAATATTTGGTATGCGCAAATTGTGAGGATGGTCCTGTAGGATATCTATGTCCGGTGACCAAAGCGCATTTTATTGCCGTATGTCGTGTCAAACAGGAATAATTTATTAGTGTTCTGAACAGCTCGTGGTTCCATCTCTTCTCATTTTCGCTTGATTATCCGGAAGTCTTGCTTAGCTGTATTGCTTCAATAACCTTAGCTTAGATCTGCTTTTTTCTTTGACAGATTTTGTTTTTTTGATATATATTAAAAGTGATCATTTTTTCTGAGTTAGGCCGGACTTCCCCGTCGAAACATCAAGAATAACTTGTAGGTGCTTGTCTTTCAAGAAAAAAAAATGTTTTTAATGTGTAGAACAATTGAGCTAGGCTTAATCGGCTGTTCAATTACGTTCAAGATTCTATCTCTGGCGCCTCAAAAATATAAATATTTATGTGATGCATTACTTTTTGAGTCCGTTAATACTGTAGGCTACTGTTCTCTATAAAATGATATAATCAGAGGAGCTAAACCTCACTTCATCTTACAACACTGCATCATATTTCTTAGGGTATTGGAATTTTTTTTTATCCGTAAGAAGTAGAATTTCAGTTGAGCTGAAATTACTAAAGATTGGAAAAAGTGAAATTGTATAAAAAATAAAAAATTATTTTGAAGTAATGTTAAGGAAAATATTTCTAATGGTTTTTGATATACTTTCTTCTTCGGATTTTTCATACTTCTAGAATTTATACTTCTAAATCTCAGATGTGAGCAACTGTATTACAGGACAAATTTCAAGAAATTGACTATTTTTGTCCTTCAAAGAATTGAAATGTGACGTTTTTCGTGAGTGGTCCGTTTTGGTTGTATATGTTGGTATGTTTTTAATATAAAGGTTATATTTATATATCTTGTTTATCATAATTTTATAAAAATATCACAGATTATATATGTTTATATGTTTTTAATACAAAGGTTGCATATATTTCTTGTTTATTATAATTTTACAGATATCAGGAATTGTGTATGTTGATATGCTTTTAATATAAAGGTTACACACATCTTTTTTTTTAATATAAAGGTTACATATATCTCTTACGTTACCTTGTGCATCATTTTTTCTTGCTTTACTGTTGAAATTATACTGTTTGAATTTGTTTGAACTCTCCGAAGTTCTTTAAGTGATTAATAATTAACTTTTCTTTTTTTGCTGAAAGTTTTCATTGAATGTGCTGCTTTAATATTTTGTTCGTATTATTTAGTGAAAGTGTGCTGCCGGGACTATTTAGGATGGCAACAGAACAAGGACAAACAAACGTAATTTTTTTGTATTGTTTTTATAACAAACGTAATTTGTCATATTTTGCGAGGATGTTTTTTAACGCATATCATATTTTGCTGGTATTTATTTTTTGTTTTTTTTTTGACTAGTAACAATATAAATTTATGTATTATTGGCCACTTTATAAGTCTGCAAGTTTCGTTTATAGGTGGTGAGCACAGGTGTGGAAGAGCCATTGGATTTAATTCGATTGAGTTTAGATGAACGCATTTATGTGAAAATGCGCAACGATCGTGAGGTCTGCAGTTTTTGTTGACATCACTGGATTTCTCTAAATTTATTGCACATAGTTGCGGTTTGACCCGTCTTGGTCAATATGAGTCCGTCTATGATTATTCTTGTGTTGCTTCTTGACTGCAGGAAAAAAAGGAGCTTCAATAAGACCATATTTTTTGGTAAAGTTTAAAATTAGGTTTAACAATGCGAATTTTCGTCATTCTACTACTATTGGTAGTCATTGCCGCACTGGTGTTTCGTGATTTTACAAAACATAAAAAGTTTCCAGGTCCGAGGTCGTTTGCATGCGTTTGATCAACATTTAAACATGATATTATCGCAAGTAGAAGAGACAGTAACCACCGTTGAATTGGATGAAGAAAATTTTGAAGAAATGCACAAGCAGACGAAGCGTCAGATACCGATGTTGTTTGTTCGGGGTGATGCCATCATACTTGTTGCCCCACCTCTGAGACATACATAGTTTCCGATTTTTTACCATCTGGATTTGATCATTTAATTTTCGTCAGTTCCTTTAGAATTGGTTTTACGTAATTTTCGAATGGTTTTTGGAAACCTGCGCTTCCTGGTTGTCTTATCATATTTTTTTTCACGCAATCATTTGATCATAGTCCTTACAAGCAAAATCTTCTGAGTCACTTTATTTGAGAAAATTATCATTTTGAGACATACATAATTTGTGGACAACTGGAAGAAGAAAGTTAAGACTGTTAAAGTCTTAACTTTCCTCTTCCAGTTGTCCACGATTATACGTTTGTCCTTCTTCTGGTACTTTTGTTGTCATGTAATCCATTTACGGTTGTATAAATTGTCTTATGTCCCTGTAAGTTAAGGGATGTTCATTGTTTTTGTTGTTCTTCGCACTTCTGAATGGACATTTCAATCCAAGAATAATGCGTACGAGTTTACCCGCTTCATTACTGTTATGTATGCGCTGTTTTTATAACGTACTTTGTTTTATTTTCTTATATTATCATTTCCCTGGTTTTATGAATTATTTACTAAGCTGCGGATATGTATTAAGAAATTTCAGCACAAAAATTCCCTTTAAGGGAAGAATGAAATTGGAATGCAATTCCTCATATCTCTTTTTACTGTGTGCACTTATAAATTTATTTTTTACCTTCATATAGTTCTAAATGTTATGAATGAGTAAAGATTTTTACGCTCCTTTATTTGCGTCTATTTAAAATCAGTGCCAATCGCTGGTCATCTGAACATCTCTAAAGAGATCACAGTTGCTTGGGAAGTAACAGCGAGTTGTGAATCGGCAATATTTGAGCTTTTTTTTCAAATAATTAGTCATTCAGTATATATGTTATCATTCCCATAAGAAACTAGTGCGTAGACCGCGGGAGCCTTATTCGAAGTTATGTAGTGGCGTAAGATTGCTGATTTGCTTTATAAAGTACGGGAATGATAACATAGATCTTTCAGGAGTGAATTTGTGTACAGAATAACCTCTGATGTGAAATTATATATATATATATATATATATATATATATATTAGAGGCGGAAATGTTTTCCAAAATAACCGTATCAAACTTCAAAAACTGATTTGTCCTGTAGCACTTAATTTTTCGTACCTAATATAATTTTGGTTTAAATTACCTAAATTTGAATTCGTATTATTGGTCGAGATGGGCTATTTATTAGATTTCGCATTTAATGGCAAAATAGATAATTGAGTAAGTGGAAAGTGAAATTGAGGCAACTAACTGCTTTGAAATAATGGACTTCGATTATTTTGAAGTTTTTTGATACTTGTTCAGGGTTTTCATTCAGTTCTGCATTTGGTCTGGGTAATACTACGCATAGTGTATTTTTTTAATAAATTTCTTCATCCGGAAATATTACCTCTTTGTTGCCCATGCCAACTGATTTATCAAACAATGTACATAATATTCTTCTTTGTAAAAAGAAATGAGTTGGGAGGTTGGGAAACTGAAGGCACGGCAATCCTTTTACGGAAATTCCTTTTTGTCAGAAAAACTTATAGAAATTGTACTGCAACATCGATTTCATTGAATTAGATATTATTTTAAGATATTAATTCACTTAATTCTTCGAATAAAGAGAGCAAAGACAAGAGACGATTTGTATGAAGCTGAGGACAAACGCAATTGCGGAAAACTTTTTTATGTCGACCACATACTTCAGAAAACATAACTTCGAATGTTCAAATTTACTGAATTCTTGTGGTGATTTTATTCAACGCGAAAAGCATGAGAGCATGAAAGTAATCGGGATGGAAGGGTAGCGACTAAGTTGCTCCGGGTGATGGTGTGCAGGAGGAAGTATACCCGATTTAGGACAGATTCAAAAAATAATTGCATTTCATCACTAAAAATCATGACTGATTTCTGTGTGTCCAATAACAACAAAAACAGTAATAATAATAACAATAGTAATAAGCAGTAGAGCGTGTAGCCGATCGCTGCACAATTAACTTAACACTAAGCAGTCTGGTCCCTTAAATCATCGAAAGTATTTCACAAAAATAGAGTTATGACTGTTAATACAATAATCCTTTTTATGAAACTTTTATAAGGCTGAATTATTGAAGACACAACGATACACGAGTATGCTGCATTGTATATCATCCATGATATAAGAATTCTCCGTGGTTTTCCATGTAGCGATTTTTTAAAACGTGAAAATTTTGTAATATCTTAATGAATTAGAGGGAAAGAAAGGAAAGATTTTAGGCCACTTCTAAGAAAAGTGACTCCTCACACTTGTCATTTTCATAGAATAAAGTTGATAAAAGCATCTTTTTTCTCATCCGTAAATATGAAGTTTCCGCACAGCTTTTAGTAGTTATAATCATTTATATATCACTACGCAGCACCATGAATTCAAGAACAAATTCGAAGTTGAAAATAAATTTCAGTGCATTTTATGTTTAAATAGAATATATTGATATCACATAGAAATCAGTATTTTGATCTGCGCTTAAATTATTAAGGAGTTGGTCAATTCATTCGAAGGATAACCTAAGCAATGAGTAGATAAAAGATAGAGAGAAATGTTGATTATGTAGCTGAATTATTAACGAGAAAGGTACTAGAGGGAATCTATGCGGAGCCTTATTACTATGGTAAGTACAGAACCTTAAAAATGGTATCATAACAAATCTACATATTTCATAGACGAGAAAAAAAGAAGGGATAACGAAGGACGGTTAAATATTTGGAGACCTTCAAAAATGAGATTACGGTGTTTCATTAAAACATGAAATGGACGAGGGAATGAAAAGAGAAGAGGTTAGCGAACGAATTCCACCGCCAGTCAAAATTCTTTTAAACAGGCAAACATTGCCATTACCCGAAATGCAATCATCTGAAATGCCTCCTTTTGAATGTGTCAATATTCAGATCAATAGCTTCAATCCCTACCTACCCGCACCTGAAAATCATTTCATCATCAATAAACATATATTCTCCATTCATTGCATTTTTCAATAGGCTATACCTGAAACACGTAAATTACAAATCGAAAGTTAGTTTTTTCAAAAATTATAGAAATATTTGTTGTTTC